GAAACACAACTACTACGTCCCATCACACATCTATCTATGCAATATCACCCTGGGTTTATACTGTGTCCCGAAACACAACTACTACGTCCCATCACACATCTATCTATGCAATATCACCCTGGGTTTATACTGCATCACACATCTATCTATGCAATATCACCCTGGGTTTATACTGCATCACACATCTATCTATGCAATATCCCTTTGGTTTATACTGCATCACACATCTATCTATGCAATATCACCCTGGGTTTTATACATCTATCTATGCAATATCACCCTGGGTTTATACTGCATCACACAACTGTCTATGCAAGATCACTATCTGTCTGTAATGGGTTTATACTGCATCACACAACCAACCGTCTATCACACATCTATCTATGCAATATCACTCTGTCTGTCATGGGTTTATACTGCATCACACAACTACTACGTCCCATCACACATCTATCTATGCAATATCACCCTGGGTTTATACTGCATCACACAACTATCTATGCAATATCACTCTGCCTGTCATGGGTTTATACTGCATCACACAACTATCTAGTATGCAATATCACACTGTCAGCCATGGGATTATACTGCATCACACAACTGTCTAGTATGCAACATCACCCTGGGTTTATACTGCATCACACATCTATCTATACAATATCACCCTGGGTTTATACTGCATCACACAACTATCTATGCAATATCACCCTGGGTTTATACTGCATCACACAACTGTCTAGTATTCAATATCACCCTGGGTTTATACTGCATCACACATCTACCTATACAATATCACCCTGGGTTTATACTGCATCACACATCTATCTATGCAATATCACCCTGGGTTTATACTGCATCACACAACTGTCTAGTATTCAATATCACCCTGGGTTTATACTGCATCACACATCTACCTATACAATATCACCCTGGGTTTATACTGCATCACACAACTGTCTATGCAATATCACCCTGGGTTTATACTGCATCACACAACTGTCTATGCAATATCACCCTGGGTTTATACTGCATCGCACAACTATCTATGCAATATCACCCTAGGTTTATACTGCATCACACAACTGTCTAGTATGCAATATCACTCTGTCTGTCATGGGTTTATACTGCATCACACAACTATCTATGCAATATCACACTGTCTGTCATGGGTTTATACTGCATCACAGAACTATCTATGCAATATCACTCTGTCTGTCATGGGTTAATACTGCATCACACAACTGTCCAGTATGCAATATCACACTGTCTGTCATGGGTTTATACTGCAACACAACCATCTATGCAATATCACTCTGTCTGTCATGGGTTTATACTGCATCACACAACTATCTATGCAATATCACACTGTCTGTCATGGGTTTATACTGCATCACAGAACTATCTTTGCAATATCACTCTGTCTGTCATGGGTTAATACTGCATCACACAACTGTCCAGTATGCAATATCACACTGTCTGCCATGGGTTTGTACTGCATCACAGAACTATGTATGCAATATCACTCTGTCTGTCATGGGTTTATACTGCATCACACAACTGTCTAGCATGCAATATCACACTGTCTATCATGGGTTTGTACTGCATTACACAACTATCTATGCAATATAACTCTGTCTGTCATGGGTTTATACTGCATCACACAACTGTCTAGTATGTAATATCACACTGTCTGTCATGGGTTTATACTGCATCACACAATTATCTATGCAATATCACTCTGTCTGTCATGGGTTTATACTGCATCAGACAACTGTCTAGTATGCAATATCACTCTGTCTGCCATTGGTTTATACTGCATCACACAACTATCTATGCAATATCACACTGTCTGTCATGGGTTTGTACTGCATCACACAACTATCTATACAATACCACCCTGGGTTTATACTGTGTCACATAGCTATCTATACAATACCACTCTGTCTGTCGTGGGTATATACTGCATTAGACAACTGTCTATACAATACCACCCAGGGTTTATACTGTGTCACATAACTATCTATACAATACCACTCTGTCTGTCATGGGTATATACTGCATTAGACAACAAGCTATACAATACCACCCTGGGTTTATATTGTGTCACATAACTATCTATACAATACCACTCTGTCGTGGGTGTACTGCATTAGACAACTAGGTACAATACCACCCTGGTTTATATTGCGTCACATAACTATCTATACAATACCACTCTCTCTGTCATGGGTATATACTGCATTAGACAACTGTATACATACCACCCTGGGTTTATGTGTCACATATACAATACCACTCTGTCTGTCACGGGTATATACTGCATCACACAACTATCTATACAATACCACCCTGGGTTTATACTGCGTCACATAACTATCTATACAATATCACTCTTTTTCACGGGTTTATACTGCATTAGACAAATACCACCCTGGGTTTATACTGTGTCACATAACTATCTATACAATACCACTCTGTTTTTCATGGGTATATACTGCATTAGACAACTGTCTATACAATACCACCCTGGGTTTATACTGTGTCACATAACTATCTATACAATACCACTCTGTCTGTCGTGGGTTTATACTGCATTAGACAACGAGCTATACAGTACCACCCTAGGTTTATACTGCGTCACATAACTATCTATACAATACCACACTGTCTGTCATGGGTATATACTGCATTAGACAACTAGCTATACAATACCACCCTGGGTTTATACTGCGTCACATAACTATCTATACAATACCACTCTCTCTGTCATGGGTATATACTGCATTAGACAACTAGTTATACAATACCACCCTGGGTTTATACTGTGTCACATAACTATCTATACAATACCACTCTGTCTGTCACGGGTATATACTACATCAGACAACTAGCTATACAATACCACTCTGGGTTTATACTGTGTCACATAACTATCTATACAATACCTCTCTCTCTGTCATGGGTATATACTGCATTAGACAACTGTCTATTCAAAACCACCCTGGGTTTATACTGTGTCACATAACTATCCATACAATACAACTCTATCTGTCATGGGTATATACTGCTTTAGACAACTAGCTATACAATACCACCCTGGGCATATACTATGTCACATAACTATCTATACAATACCGCACTGTCTGTCATGGGTATATACTGCATTAAACAACTAGGGATACAATACCACCCTGGATTTATACTGTGTCACATAACTATCCATACAATACCACCCTGTCTGTCATGGGCTTATACTGCATTAGACAACTAGCTATACAATACCACCCTGAGTTTATACTGCGTCACATAACTATCTATACAATACCACTCTCTCTGTCATGGGTATATACTGCATTAGACAACTAGTTATACAATACCACCCTGGGTTTATACTGTGTCACATAACTATCTATACAATACCACTCTGTCTGTCACGGGTATATACTGCATCACACAACTATCTATACAATACCACCCTGGGTTTATACTGCGTCACATAGCTATCTATACAATATCACTCTCTCTTTCACGGGTTTATACTGCATTAGACAAATACCACCCTGGGTTTATACTGCGTCACATAACTATCTATACAATATCACTCTGTTTTTCATGGGTATATACTGCCTTAGACAACTAGCTATACAATACTTACCTGGGTGTATATTGTGTTACATAACTATCTATACAATACCACTCTGTCTGTCGTGGGTATATACTGCATTAGACAACTAGCTATACAATACCACCCTGGGTTTATACTGTGTCACATAACTATCTATACAATACCACTCTGTCTGTCATGGGTATATACTGCATTAGACAACTAGCTATACAATACCACTCTGGGTTTATACTGTGTGTCATATAACTATCCTATACAATACCAACTCTATCTGTCATGGGTATATACTGCATTAGACAACTGTCTATTCAAAACCACCCTGGGTTTATACTGTGTCACATAACTATCTATACAATACCGCACTGTCTGTCATGGGTATATACTGCATTAGACAACTAGCTATACAATACCACCCTGGATTTATACTGTGTCACATAACTATCTTTACAATACCACTCTGTCTGTCATTGGTACATACTGCATTAGACAACTAGCTATACAATACCACCCTGGGTTTATACTGTGTCACATAACTATCTATACAATATCACTCTCTCTTTCACGGGGTTATACTGCATTAGACAAATACCACCCTGGGTTTATACTGCGTCACATAACTATCTATACAATATCACTCTGTTTTTCATGGGTATATATTGCATTAGACAACTAGCTATACAATACCACCCTAGGTTTATACTGTGTCACATAGCTATTTAAACAATACCACACTGTCTGTCATGGGTATATACTTCATTAGACAACTAGCTATACAATACCACCCTGGGTTTATACTGTGTCACATAACTATCTATACAACACCACTCCCTCTGTCATGGGTATATACTGCATTAGACAACTAGCTATACAATACCCCCCTGGGTTTATACTGTGTCACATAACTATGCATACAATACCATTCTCTCTGTCATGGGTATATACTGCATTTGACAACTAGCTATACAATACCACCCTGGGTTTATACTGTGTCACATAACTATCTATACAATACCACCCTGAGTTTATACTGTGTCACATAACTATCTGTACAATACCACACTGTCTGTCATGGGTATATACTTCATTAGACAACTAGCTATACAATAACACCCTGGGTTTATACTGCGTCACATAACTATCTATACAATACCACTCTCTCTGTCATGGGTATATACTGCATTAGACAACTAGCTATACAATACCACCCTGAGTTTATACTGTGTCACATAACTATCTATACAATACCACTCTCTCTGTCATGGGTATATACTGCATTAGACAACTAGCTATACAATACCACCCTGGGTTTATACTGTGTCACATAAGTATCTATACAATACCACCCTGTCTGTCATCGGTTTATCTTGCGTCTCAGTGCACAGCTCACCTAGCGGCTGGTTTACCTTTTTCTCGGAACCCATGTCCTGGAACGAAGCTTTCACCGTGTGTTCAGATCGAGAGGAACGTCTACTCCACGTCAACAGCGTCCATAAACAAGTCGATATGACGGACACGATCAACAAACTCGCTAATCAAGGCCATTTGTAAGTATTGTATTTCCTGCACTGTTATTTACTTTTAAGAGATTATTAAGATATAAAGCCTCAACAATTTCGGTGGATCGTCAGATCTCATATATCGTTGCTTATCTGACTGACTGAGTTTAGTTTTACGCCGCCTTTAGCAATATTCCAGCAATATCACGGCGGGGGACACCAGAAATGGGCTTAACATATTTTGCCCATGTGGGGAATCGAACCCGGGTCTTCGGCGTGACGAGCCAACGCTTTAACCACTAGGCTACCCCACCGCCCCTCGTTGCTTATCATTTAAGCAGTTGTTTCACATCTCTTTTTAGCTGAAAAATTGCTTTGTGTTGATCACAGACATCAATTGATATTGTGATTCAGGGACATCGGGGGCGCTGGGGTAACCTAGTGGAAAAGGCATTCGCTCGTCGCGCTGAAGACGCTGGTTCGATTCCTCACATGGGTACAATGTGTGAAGCCCATTTCTCGTGTCAGCCCCCGTGTTACTGCTGGAATATTGCTAAAAGCGGCTATTACTATATTACTAAAACCATACTCACTCACTCACTTACTCACTGACATGAACTATTGTTTTTAGTTGATGTTACCATTTATGTTATCGTAGGTCACACGTTAGGTCGTCTAAGTCTGTATAGAGGTAACAGATGTGCCAGGAGCCGGTGGTCCCAGATTCAATTTTGATAATGAGCTGAGTTGGAGATTTCTGAGGCCTGCATGACTATGAACTTCCCCTCGCATTGCTCGGACACGTCATGATGTATCTGGAATAATGTTGGAAGTGTGTTAGTTCCATGTCATCTAGACCTCCTTCACTTCAACTATATCGTGTCTGCAGTTACACATACGCCCCTTTCAGAACGGGACCGCTGTGGCTAGGTGCTTTTAGAACATTAGGACCACCTCCGACCACCTTGTGGACAGACTGTAGTCCCGCCCAACTCTCACCCTGGCAAAATGTCTCCTATACCAGAGACAGGTTGTGTGGAGAAGTACACGACGATACCTTCTCGTGGCAAAGCTGTAACGTGCATCATCAGTTCATCTGTGAAACTCATCCTGGTAAGCTTATAACCAATAGCTACATGCTGTATGAAGGTACCACAGTGTCGTGTCATGTGTGTTCTTCAAGGGGATGCTATTGTTCTCCCTGCTCTGTCAGTGTGTACTGTGTATACTTCGCTGGGATGCTATTGTTCTCCCTGCTGTGTCGGTGTGTACTGTGTGTTCTTCAAGGGGATGCTGTTGTTCTTCCTGCTCTGTGTCGATGTGTCCTGTGTGTTCTTCAAGGGGATGCTATTGTTCTCCCTCCTATATACATGTGTGTACTGTGTATTCTTCAAGGGGATGCTATTGTTCTCCCTGCTCTATATCAGTGTGTACTGTGTGTTCTTCAAGAGGATGCTATTGTTCTCCCTGCTGTATATCAGTGTGTACTGTGTGTTCTTCAAGGGGATGCTATTGTTCTCCCTGCTGTATATCAGTGTGTACTGTGTGTCCTTCAAGGGGATGCTATGGTTCTCCCTGCTCTATGTCGGTGTGTACTGTGTGTTCTTCAAGGGGATGCTATTGTTCTCCCTGCTGTATATCAGTGTGTCCTGTGTGTTCTTCAAGGGGATGCTATTGTTCTCCCTGCGCTGTCGGTGTGTACTGTGTGTTATTCAAGGGAATGCTATTGTTCTCCCTGCTCTATGTCGGTGTGTCCTGTGTGTTCTTCAAGGGGATGCTATTGCTCTCCCTGCTGTATATCAGTGTGTACTGTGTGTTCTTCAAGGGGATGCTATTGTTCTCCGTGCTATATATCAGTGTGTACTGTGTGTTTTTCAAGGGGATGCAATTGTTCTCCCTGCTGTATATCAGTGTGTCCTGTGTGTTCTTTAAGGGGATGCTATTGTTCTCCTGCTGTATATCAGTGTGTGTCCTGTGTGTTCTTTAAGGGGATGCTATTGTTCTCCTGCTGTATATCAGTGTGTACCGTGTGTTTTTCAAGGGGATGCTATTGTTCTCCCTGCTATATATCAGTGTGTACTGTGTGTTCTTCAAGGGGATGCTATTGTTCGTCCTGCTCTATGTCGGTGTGTCCTGTGTGTTCTTCAAGGGGATGCTATTGTTCTCCCTGCTGTATATCAGTGTGTCCTGTGTGTTCTTTAAGGGGATGCTATTGTTCTCCCTGGTCTATGTCGGTGTGTCCTGTGTGATCTTCAAGGGGATGCTATTGTTCGTCCTGCTCTATGTCGATGTGTTCTGTGTGTTCTTCAAGGGGATGCTATTGTTCTCCCTGCTGTATATCAGTGTGTCCTGTGTGTTCTTTAAGGGGATGCTATTGTTCTCCCTGCTGTATATCAGTGTTCTGTGTGTTCTTTAAGGGGATGCTATTGTTCTCCCTGCTCTGTGTCGGTGTGTCCTGTGTGTTCTTCAAGGGGATGCTATTCTTCTCCCTGCTCTATGTCGGTGTGTCCTGTGTGTTCCTTAAGAGGATGCTATTGTTCTACCTGCTGTATATCAGTGTGTCCTGTGTGTTCTTCAAGGGGATGCTATTGTTCTCCCTGCTGTATATCAGTGTGTTCTGTGTGTTCTTTAAGGGGATGCTATTGTTCTCCCTGCTGTATATCAGTGTTCTGTGTGTTCTTTAAAGGGGATGCTATTGTTCTCCCTGCTCTGTGTCGGTGTGTCCTGTGTGTTCTTCATTGGGATGCTATTGTTCTCCCTGCTATATATCAGTGTGTACTGTGTGTGTTCTTCATTGGGATGCTATTGTTCAGGGGATGCTATTGTTCTCCTGCTCTATATCAGTGTGTCCTGTGTGTTCTTCAAGGGGATGCTATTGTTCTCCCTGCTGTATATCAGTGTGTCCTGTGTGTTCTTTAAGGGGATGCTATTGTTCTCCCTGCTCTATGTCAGTGTGTCCTGTGTGTTCTTCAAGGGGATGCTATTGTTCTCCTGCTGTATATCAGTGTGTACTGTGTGTTCTTTAAGGGGATGCTATTGTTCTCCTGCTGTATATCAGTGTGTACTGTGTGTTTTTCAAGGGGATGCTATTGTTCTCCCTGCTATATATCAGTGTGTACTGTGTGTTCTTCAAGGGGATGCTATTGTTCTCCCTGCTATATATCAGTGTGTACTGTGTGTTCTTCAAGGGGATGCTATTGTTCGTCCTGCTCTATGTCAGTGTGTCCTGTGTGTTCTTCAAGGGGATGCTATTGTTCTCCCTGCTGTATATCAGTGTGTCCTGTGTGTTCTTTAAGGGGATGCTATTGTTCTCCTGGTCTATGTCAGTGTGTCCTGTGTGTTCTTCAAGGGGATGCTATTGTTCTCCTGCTCTATGTCAGTGTGTTCTGTGTGTTCTTCAAGGGGATGCTATTGTTCTCCCTGCTCTATATCAGTGTGTCCTGTGTGTTCTTTAAGGGGATGCTATTGTTCTCCCTGCTCTGTGTCAGTGTGTCCTGTGTGTTCTTCAAGGGGATGCTATTGTTCTCCCTGCTGTATATCAGTGTGTCCTGTGTGTTCTTTAAGGGGATGCTATTGTTCTCCCTGCTCTATGTCGGTGTGTCCTGTGTGTTCTTCAAGGGGATGCTATTGTTCGTCCTGCTCTATGTCAGGGGGTGTGTCCAGTGTGTACTGTGTGTTCTTCAAGGGGATGCTATTGTTCTCCCCTGCTGTATATCAGTGTGTCCTGTGTGTTCTTTAAGGGGATGCTATTGTTCTCCTGCTATATATCAGTGTGTACTGTGTGTTCTTCAAGGGGATGCTATTGTTCTCCTGCTCTATGTCGGTGTGTGTCCTGTGTGTTCTTCAAGGGGATGCTATTGTTCTCCCTGCTGTATATCAGTGTGTCCTGTGTGTTCTTTAAGGGATGCTATTGTTTCTCCTGGTCTATGTCGGTGTGTCCTTGTGTGTTCTTCAAGGGGATGCTATTGTTCTCCCTGCTGTATATCAGTGTGTACTGTGTGTTCTTTAAGGGGATGCTATTGTTCTCCTGCTGTATATCAGTGTGTACTGTGTGTTCTTCAAGGGGATGCTATTGTTCTCCTGCTATATATCAGTGTGTCCTGTGTGTTCTTCAAGGGATGCTATTGTTCTCCCTGCTATATATCAGTGTGTACTGTGTGTTCTTCAAGGGATGCTATTGTTCGTCCTGCTCTATGTCGGTGTGTCCTGTGTGTTCTTCAAGGGGATGCTATTGTTCTCCTGCTGTATATCAGTGTGTCCTGTGTCTTCTTTAAGGGGATGCTATTGTTCTCCTGGTCTATGTCAGTGTGTCCTGTGTGTTCTTCAAGGGGATGCTATTGTTCTCCTGCTCTATGTCAGTGTGTCCTGTGTGTTCTTCAAGGGGATGCTATTGTTCTCCTGCTCTATATCAGTGTGTGTCCTGTGTGTTCTTCAAGGGGATGCTATTGTTCTCCCTGCTGTATATCAGTGTGTCCTGTGTGTTCTTTAAGGGGATGCTATTGTTCTCCTGCTCTATGTCAGTGTGTCCTGTGTGTTCTTCAAGGGGATGCTATTGTTCTCCCTGCTCTATATCAGTGTGTCCTGTGTGTTCTTTAAGGGGATGCTATTGTTCTCCTGCTCTATATCAGTGTCCTGTGTGTTCTTCAAGGGGATGCTATTGTTCTCCTGCTCTATATCAGTGTGTCCTGTGTGTTCTTCAAGGGGATGCTATTGTTCTCCCTGCTCTATATCAGTGTGTGTCCTGTGTGTTCTTTCAAGGGATGCTATTGTTCTCCTGCTATATATCAGTGTGTACTGTGTGTTCTTCAAGGGGATGCTATTGTTCTCCTGCTCTATATCAGTGTGTCCTGTGTGTTCTTCAAGGGGATGCTATTGTTCTCCTGCTCTATGTCAGTGTGTCCTGTGTGTTCTTCAAGGGGATGCTATTGTTCTCCTGCTGTATATCAGTGTGTCCTGTGTGTTCTTCAAGGGGATGCTATTGTTCTCCTGCTCTATATCAGTGTGTCCTGTGTGTTCTTCAAGGGATGCTATTGTTCTCCTGCTATATATCAGTGTGTACTGTGTGTTCTTCAAGGGGATGCTATTGTTCTCCTGCTGTATATCAGTGTGTACTGTGTGTTCTTCAAGGGGATGCTATTGTTCTCCCTGCTGTATATCAGTGTGTACTGTGTGTTCTTCAAGGGGATGCTATTGTTCTCCCTGCTATATATCAGTGTGTACTGTGTGTTCTTCAAGGGGATGCTATTGTTCTCCCTGCTATATATCAGTGTGTCCTGTGTGTTCTTCAAGGGGATGCTATTGTTCTCCCTGCTCTATGTCGGTGTGTCCTGTGTGTTCTTTAAGAGGATGCTATTGTTCTCCCTGCTGTATATCAGTGTGTCCTGTGTGTTCTTCAAGGGGATGCTATTGTTCTCCCTGCTCTATGTCAGTGTGTCCTGTGTGTTCTTCAAGGGGATGCTATTGTTCTCCCTGCTCTATGTCGGTGTGTCCTGTGTGTTCTTCAAGGGGATGCTATTGTTCTCCTGCTCTATATCAGTGTGTCCTGTGTGTTCTTTAAGGGGATGCTATTGTTCGTCCTGCTCTATGTCGATGTGTTCTGTGTGTTCTTCAAGGGGATGCTATTGTTCTCCCTGCTCTATGTCGGTGTGTCCTGTGTGTTCCTTAAGAGGATGCTATTGTTCTACCTGCTGTATATCAGTGTGTCCTGTGTGTTGTTCTTCAAGGGGATGCTATTGTTCTCCCTGCTGTATATCAGTGTGTTCTGTGTGTTCTTTAAGGGGATGCTATTGTTCTCCCTGCTCTGTGTCGGTGTGTCCTGTGTGTTCTTCATTGGGATGCTATTGTTCTCCCTGCTATATATCAGTGTGTACTGTGTGTTCTTCAAGGGGATGCTATTGTTCTCCTGCTATATATCAGTGTGTACTGTGTGTTCTTCAAGGGGATGCTATTGTTCTCCCTGCTGTATATCAGTGTGTCCTGTGTGTTCTTTAAGGGGATGCTATTGTTCTCCCTGCTCTATGTCGGTGTGTCCTGTGTGTTCTTCAAGGGGATGCTATTGTTCTCCTGCTGTATATCAGTGTGTCCTGTGTGTTCTTTAAGGGGATGCTATTGTT